CAATGTCAGAAGGATTGTGAAAAGGAGCGACAGACGTGTGTGTATGTGTGTGTGTGTGAAGTGTAGTTGTACAAATGAGCCGAAGTGAGGTAGGCGTGGTTAGAATCCCGAGGAGAGGCGTGTACAGATGCTTCATCTATACTCTAGGGTTTTTGATTGTTGGCCTTGTTAAACTTGATAATAAAATGATAATGATGATAAAATTGTCTATTTATTTTGTAAAAAATCTAAAACAGAACAAAACCAAACATGGCACAGTAAAACAAACACTAAAACACAGAAACAAAACGGACATAAAACACGGTAAAACAGAGACACTAAAACAAAACATGGTAAAACACAGACTCTAAAACACAAAAGACGAAACGGACATAAAACACAGTAAGACACAAACACTAAAATGAGAACACCTTCTCTCGCGTATAGTATGACTTAAATCACTCATATTGCCGAGACCACTTTATTCTGTGCACCACAACCGTCCAGCAGTTGACCTGGCCTGGACCTCGAACCGCTCTGCTGGAAGGGCTAGGGACTTTCCATTGTCACCTCGGCCCGCGAAACTAAGCTTTGGTCTCAGGATTTGCAAAATAAAATCACAATATACATTAAAATTCTTATAATAATAATAATTTAAATATGTTTAAAGTTGTTTTAAAATGAATAAAAATGTATGAAATAACATAGTAAAAGATAAATAAGAACCATCGTATATACGGGTTCCTTTAAAAATCCATTTTTGGTTTTCTCTTTTTAAAACAAAAGTCCGTGTAAAACACAATGTAAAACAGTAAATTAAAATGCACAAAAAAACAACTAAAACAAAAGTTAAACATAAATCAGTAACGAGGCCGCGCAGGCGAGTCGCTCCAGATATGCTCCCCGTTTGCTATTGCCCAGAGGGGATCTGGCCGATCGAGGTGGCGTACTAGGCTGCGACCTCCTCCGTGGAGCGAGGGTGGACGCCGTCCTTCATCTCGTAAGGGGGGGGGGGCGCGAAAGGATATGTAGGGGGCCGAGGAGGACGTACACAGGCGGTCCACTACATCTTAACCTCTCTTCTGTTCAAATAGATAAATTTCGTGATTTGCTACAGAACATCAGTGTTGTGTAAGGAAAGGTACTGCGTCAATATATTTCGTGATTTAATTCAGTACACGTGTAATGTAAGTAAATGTAATATGTCAGTGAACAAATAAAAAACAAACAAACACTTTACCGGATATCCTCGTTGCAAATCCTACCCGATCCAACTAATTACAAAGACTCCAAACCATTGCCTAAGTAATGTTTCCTTTGTGTACGTGCCTTGCCAACACGAGGATCCAAAAGAGACCACTTTAATAAGACACCAAAACCTTGCTTTATGTACAGATGCTGGCAACGGTTTCGGTGGCTATTGTGAAACTGATTGTGCAGGCTATAGTGTACAGTATCCAATATGCAATATTATTTATGTAACACTATTTACCGATTAAAGAGAGGAAAAATGTCATTGTCATTCATTATCACCATTCTGATTTTTATAATTGTTGTCAATATCACACACCTATTATCATTAGCTTAAGGATTTATTCTTATGATTTCATAGAAAATGGGGGTGCAAGGAGTTCGCCTCTTCTGTTCTCGCGCCTCATATATATATATATATATATATATATATATATATATATATATATATATAGAGAGAGAGAGAGAGAGAGAGAGAGAGAGAGAGAGAGAAAGAGAGAGAGAGAGAGGGGGAGAAAGATCATTATTATCAGTTAACATAATTATCATAATAATTATTATCACAGTCATAATCATTGTTATGTCACTTCATATTATCAATGATCGTTACATCTACCACCATTATTGTCCTCCTTTCTTACGAATTTTGTTTCTTTTATTCCTTTATAAAACTCATTTTATGCTCATTCCACCCACACAACCGTTATCCATCATTCTCTCTCTCTCTCTCTCTCTCTCTCTCTCTCTCTCTCTCTCTCTCTCTCTCTCTCTCTCTCTCTCTCTCTCTCTCTCTCTCTCTCTCTCCATGTGCGTGTGTGTCATACGTGGAACCGGAACAGCAGGAATAGATCAGGGTCACGGGAAGTGGCAGAATTTAGTTCATGTCACAGAAGGTCGTGCGTTGAAAAACACTATAGTTATTGTTATAATCATCAATCACCGTATCTTCTGTCATTATCATTAACTTTTATTCTCATTATCAGTAATTGTGCCATACCCATCAGTATAACCATTCTTATGGTAGCTGCAATAGTCGCTATAGAAATCGGAGTTATAATAAACATAAAAAAGTTAATAAGGTACAAACATGGCCAAACAGTAAAACAGCAATTGTAGTAGTACTGGTATTGGTCGATGAATGGACTAGAGGTGGCGGTAATGAAATGCCTTCATAAGTAACAAAATATATCTCATTTTGCAAGTTACCCTTGGCCTATATCCAGGGCCGGCCTTAGCTGTTGCTGGGCCCAGGGCAAAATTTGGGCGCGGGGCCCCCTGCAGGGCAAAATGATATTATTAAGAGATTGACTAAAGAAACGATATTATACTTCCACGGAAAATATATTTACGATAACTTTACAAACATTATACGCACTCGCAATGCGTAGATATCACTACAGCTTACAAAATTATTTTTCAATAAAATACCATTATTACTAAAGAAAAAATATTTTATAAGTTAATAATTATAAGTTATGCTCGCTCGCAGTGCATATATATACAGAGAGAGAGACGATACTATAGCTCACAAAATTATAAATGATTTTTCAAGCTTTCCTCTTACTTAAGTCATTGATCAATATAAAATAGTCGAAAACGGTATCAAAATGTCATTACAACTAAAGAAAAAACTTCAACTGAAAATATACTCGCCATTATTTTACATGTCCGTGAAGATGAAAAATCATAAAAGTAAAGCTCACTCGTAATGCGTAGAGAGAGACTACTATAGCTCAGTAAAGCTTACAAAACTATTTTTCTGGCTTTCCTCTTACTAAAGTCATCTATCAATTTAGAATAGTCTAAAGCACTTGCAATTTCGTTTTCAATTGAAAGAATGGCCAAGCCACTGAGTCTTTCCTGCGACATGGTGGAGTGCAGGTATGTCTTTATCAGCTTCAGCCGAGAGAAGCTGCGCTCTGCTGCAGCAACTGTGACTGGCGCAGTGAGGAAAACCCGAAGAGCAACAGAGGTGTTTGGGTAGGCGTCTGTTAGTGAATGATCTATCATGTATTTCAGCACAAACGTCTCTGAGGATTTTTCGGGGATTACATAACACAGAGAAATCAGCTCATCACACAAACCTTCACCGTCAATGCCTGTGCTGTCATTACGAGACAAGGCCTTTGCTAGTCTTCTGCAATTGGTCAGAACATCAGTTCTGTTCGCATCGCGCAACGAAGAGATCTTAGTGAGAATCTCGAAACCACGAAAGAATGCTTTCAGTAGATCGCATATTTGAACCGTTATCGTAACTTTGTCCTCTGCAGTTACTCAGAGAAAGTCCAAAGTCTTCCACCTTCTGCAGCAACGTTCCTGCCAGCGATTCACCCGTTGTTTCATGAACCGGCATAAAATCAAGAAAATGTTCTTCAGCTTCACCTTTGCTTCCCACACAACGAACGACAAGAGACATTTGCTCCGCACGACTAACATCTTGTGTGCAGTCTAGAATGACTGCATAGTATCGGGCATCCTTGACTCGCTGAATAATTTCTTTTTTGACATGATCTGCCAGCATTTGGATGAATTCATTCTGCATGTTTTTTTTTCCGAGGTAATGATCCGGTTGATTCCCCTCAGTCGTTCGTCGCACGTGTTCTGCAATGACAACATCAAATTGGGCCAATAGTTCTACGAGCCCCAAAAAGTTGCCATTGTTGGGCTGAAAAAGTTTTTCACGAGTTCCTCGAAAAGACAGATTTCTTGAGGCCAAATAGTAGGTAATAGCAAACAGGCGTTCAAGAACATTCAACTCTTTCTGTGCATCTTCATCTATAGTCTTGGAAACTGAAAGACGAAGTTTAAGCTCTTTCCAATGAACAAAATGCTTTAGATGGTTGCCACTTTTTTCGTGATCCGACAACTTATCACCCAAATGCTTCCAGTCAGATAATCCATCACGGTTGAGCTTCGATGTTGTCATTACTTTGTCAGAAAATAACTTACAACAGAAGCAGTAAACTGTATCTTTGTTTATGGAATAGATTAACCATTCCCTGTCCGTATTTTCTCCATTGCAAAGAAAGCGATTGTAATATCGTTCCGTAAAACATCTTTCTTCTTTATTGCGAGGATAATTAAGATCACGCCGACGGACTGGCCCCTTTTCTATGAAGTCACACCTTTGCCGATCATTCAAAGTTGTTGGCCAATTTTCAGGATCACTGATGTCAGCTACTACAGATGAAGACTCCGGTGCAACTTCACTTATTTGAGCATCGGTTGCAATTTCCTCATTTGTACCTGTGAAAGCGGAATCAGCTTGCTCACTTTGTGGAGCGAAATATTTATCCAAGGCACCTTGCTGTCTCTTTTGAGCTTCTTCTTCTGCCTTCTTTTTCTTCCGCTTTGTAGCACCAGAGAGATATGTTCTTCCCAAGTCCCGCTCTCGACTTGCCATTGGGGGTCTGCAAAGATAAATAAACCTAAAGAGATCAGTGGCGGCTCACCCACTGAGTGGCCGGAGTAACTCTGGGGGCCCCATGTTTCAAATATTAAAATTGTTGATTAATAAAACGATATGTTGTAAAGCTTATCCGTGTTGAGGGCTCTCATTCCTCGACAGTCTTCAAACTGGGGACCGTATGCGACACATTAGGTCGTGCGGGGCCCCATCTATATGAAGTCATCCGGGCCCCACTATAGTGATACTTTCGTGGGGAGAGAGTGCATTTACATTCGTACCTATTGTACATGCCATATATGAACACTTTATAATACATCTCATAAAACATGTGATTTTATCACATTTTGTTTTCGCATTTAAA